ACTAGGGGTGTAACTTGAGTGGACTCAACCCGAACTTAGCCCGAATTTTTTTAGAAGTTGGATAAGATATTCTCAAATTCGGTATGGGTTTGAGCAAAAATTCTAAAGGCTGAATTAAATTTGGGCAAGGTTAGGCAAAAACGTCAAATAATCGGAGCAACCTGAAACCCGAATTATACATATATAAAAATATTAAATATATATATAAATTATTAGCCATTATATGATATTAAAGTAATGGGTAAATTATAATTTAACCCCCTGCAGTTTGCCTAAAAAACACAGAGCCCCCCTATATAGTTTCATTTGTAACACTTAAACTCCTATACTTCATACCAAAGTGCAATTTCTGACGGAACTATTTGTTTAAACAGAGCGTGTATTACACAACTATGAATGGTGAGTGGAGCAATTTTTCCCACCTAAAAATATATAGGAAATGACCAAAATACCCTATATATATATACACAGATCTTCTTAAATAAAGAACAAAAAAAAATATGAATCCACAAGAAGGGGCACTTATTCTCTCTCTCTCTCTCTCTCCATTGAGTTACTGTTCACTCGTTCTCTATTGTCGTAATCCCTACTTCATATTTGATTCCAAAAATGTGTCGAAAAAAAGTTCAAATCCAACTGTTTCCAACCATTCTTGACATTTTTGAGAACTTGTTCAAACCCTAAATTCAAGCCAGAGCTCGATGAGTAGGAGTGACAGTTGTGTTAGTTTCAGCCGATTGTCCTTTGAAAATCTAGAACCGAGATCGAAGTCGCTGGAGACTCTGTCGCTGAAGCCACACCGATCGTCGGACTCATCGTAGCAGGCCATACGATTGTTGACGTTCCGGGGGAAAGTGGGACTTGGTTTTAGGGACTTTGGCCTTATACTCCAAATCGGGAGCGGCGACATCGGGAGGGTTTTCCTTTGCTACCTCCTCAGGGGTGGCGGTGGCTTCTATATCATGAAAGTGGTGGACAGAGAGGTTTTGGCCGTGAAGAAGAAGATTTAGAGGGCGGAGATGGAGAAGAAGACTTTGAAGACGCTCTACACCGAGTTTGAAGCCTCTCATTTCTCTTGCGTAGTGATGGAGTACTATTCCAGTGGTGATTTACACTCTCTCAGACATAAACAACCCTACAAACACTTCTCATATGTTCCTATCCGTAAATGTTATGTCTATTTTAGCTCTATAAAAGTCTACTTCTATTGGATATTCCATTTAATTTTTGCTCACTTTCTTTCCAGTTAGTTCGTTTGTTCAAAAAATTGGTGTAATTTTAGCCGCAATGAAAACTTATCGTTATTTAGAATTCTTCCGTTATAGTTGTGAGTCGAAATTTGTGGGAATATTTGTAATTAGAACAGGGCATAACAGTACATCATTGCAGTGTATAAAAGTGAATAATATGATTATTTCAGCTCGAAGTTATATGGCCATTTGGAGGTGGTGTTTTGGGCTCTGCTATCTCTACTTCCCCCATGTGACATAACATAGCGAAAAAACTGTAACAGACTTGATAAATGAAGGCCTGCAAACATTTTGTGAGGAAAAATGTTTCCAACTGGTAATAAGGTTTTTTTCCATGCTCAAACTTGGAGTTGATGCTCATAGAGCATATGGCTTCTCTTAAAATGTAATTGTGTCGACATTACAGTTACAATGTTCTGTGCAAGGGATGCTTTAAAATACCTCCCTAGGGGAGAAGGTATTAAGAGAGAGAAAGAGAGAAGTGAGATTTCCTTGTTTGCCAGTGTGCATGGTGACACGAGCACAATTCTATCTCGCCCTATATTTTAATTTTTTCTCTGGACATGTTCTTATAAAATATCTAAGGGCATTTATGACTTTTTAAAATTTCTGTTACGTCAGTCAGAAATTGCACTCTGGTATGAAGTATAGGAGTTTAAGTGTTACATATGAAACTATAGGGAGGCTCCGTGCTTTTTAAGCAAACTACTAGGGGTCAAATTATAATTTACCCTAAAGTAATTTAGATTATTAAATCATATTGAACAATTCGGGCCTAAGCGAGCCTGAACAGGCCTCAACACAACTTAAGCTGGACTTGAACAGTCTCCCAATCCGACTGAACCCGTCCGAGTTGCAACCCTAATACTAACATGTGCAAACATCTCCTCTCTACTTTTCTACATATCTTTTTATAAAAAGTCAAAAAATGCACTTATTTAGGACATCTCAATCCACCTCTTAGATTGTGTTTGAATTATCAATTTGAATAAGAATTTTAAAAAAAAAAAAAGTTATGAATGAAATATGATTTTTTTTTTCTTCTCAATTTCTATCGTCTCTTCCTTTCTTTTTTTTTAAAATCTCTGCTCAATTTATTATCCTAACACAGCGTTAAAGCATTTTAAACATTTTACCTCACCTTATCACAAAATGGAGATCCAACACACTAAACATTTCGAGTCATCCTCTATTAGCTAGCTATATTTATACTTCGAGAGCCTTGGATGCCAGAAAATTTACTTTTAAAGGCAAAAGAGTATCGCTAGAATACAAGGTGATTAAACAAAATACAGAATATCCTTGTTCGTGTATTGGTGTGGGAGTTGCTCACCAAACTACACGGTAAAAAAACAAAAAATCATTGAAACAAAATGGAACAAAACCTAACAAAGTACTCTCCCGTTTCAAAATATTAGCCTCTTATTTCATTTTTTATTATTCTAAAATATTAATCCTTTTTCAAAAATTAAGAACTAAAATAATATAAATTTTTTATTTTGTCCTTTTGAAGTCATTAACAATACAAAAAGTACCATTATAACAATTGATATTCTCCACACACAAAAAAAAAGTACTATCAAAAGATAATTTTAGAAAATCAATTTTTTTTAAAATACAATAATTGTACTTTTGGCCATTTGAGCCACTTTTGAGCCACAAAATTTGAGCTACGAGACATTTTCCTTAAACAAAATACAGAATATCCTTGTTCGTGTATTGGTGTGGGAGTTGCTCACCAAACTACACGGTAAAAAAACAAAAAATCATTGAAACAAAATGGAACAAAACCTAATAAAAAGTACTCTCCCGTTTCAAAATATTAGCCTCTTATTTCATTTTTTATTATTCCAAAATATTAATCTTTTTTCAAAAATCAAGGACTAAAATAATATAAATTTTTTATTTTGTCCTTTTGAAGTCATTAACAATACAAAAAGTACCATTATAACAATTGATATTCTCCACACACAAAAAAAAAGTACTATCAAAAGATAATTTTAGAAAATCAATTTTTTTTAAAATACAATAATTGTACTATTAAAATAAGTTTAATTTTCTAAAAGAGACTTATTTTGAGACGAAATGAAGGTGTAATTAACTTCTAAATTACCACTACCTAATGTAGGTTTGATTTGGGTAGGGGATTATAAGCAACGTTTTAGCGTTTTGTCTAAAAGCCAAACGTGGTGGACTTAGGATTACTGCTAATCTGGGACTCCCAGTGGGATTAGGATAAACTCTCTAAGAGTTTTATCTTTACCCAAACTGAAGTCTTCTCCCAATCTAGGACTCTCATCCATTATCTGCTTATCTCGAATTCCGATATCTTCGGAGGTAACCTCGGCCTAGCCGAGATAACCTCGGCACAACGACCAAGACACGTGGCACGTCGGCTGACACGTCGGTGTCACCTTGCCACGTGTTGGTACTCAGAAAATATATCCCCACAGAAATGAAGGAGTAATTAACTTTTAAAATTACCCCTACCTAATGTAGGTTTGATTTGGGTAGGGGATTATAAGCAACGTTTTAGCGTTTTGTCTAAAAGCCAAACGTGGCTTTTTTTTGTACAGAAACTCATTTGGGAAGCTGTTGAAAACACCAGATCATAATTTCGTCTAAAAGTTGTTGAAATTACAAGACTATCCTCAGTGTTTACACCTTGAGGGTAAATTTCTTCATTTGGGTGGAGGTAATTTGGACATTTTATAATGATGAGATATCATAAATAAATATTTACTCAAAAAGTCACAAAGAGATATTTTGAGAAGATATAATCAACTTTTTGGTTAAAAACTGATTATAATCAACTTTTTGTGAGAAAGGAAAGTGGGTTATAATCTGAGAAGTAGATTATAACCCACTTTCCAAAAGGGGCCAAAGTAACTTTTTACTAATTTCCTAAATCACTTTTCAAAAAAGTCAAAAATTTTGATTAAAAGCAAAAATTAACTTTTAGGGATTGTTTAGAATATTCTAAATAAATGCACTTTTAATTTTTTGGACTAAAAAGTTGAAGAAAAAAATATAATTGTTTGAGTTAACTTTTTGACTTTTTATAAAAAAATGTGTATTAAAAAATTATATAAATTAATGTGTAGAGAAAAATTAGAATTAAAAGTTATGCAGCCATAATTTTTAACTTTTGATAAATAGTGATAACTTTTTAATTTTTTGAGTAACTTTTTGACTTTTTTTAAACTTGTCAAACTTAACCTTAATCATCTTTCTAAAACACCCCATAATAACAACTTACGCCCAAAGTCTCATCTATAAAATTTTAAAAATTTCAAAATCAAAAAGTGTACGACAATATAATTAAAACAACTAATAAAATTCTAATGATTTGGCAATCTCGGTGTGAATCTTACATTAACTAGGCTGTGCATCAACGGTTCAATTCAACTCCCACAGAAAATGACATTACAGTTTTGCACTTCTTGTTTGGAATAAAACACCATCTTTGACATAGATAAGATAAAAGATCTCCGCTGAACTCTCAATGAAACAAGGCTGAAGGAAAAACAAGTTCACAACGCGGCAATAACCTCAAAAATAACAATTGAGACTTGGATGGCAGTCGGGAAAAGAAAAAATGAATAAATTTTAAAGAGTCCCACAAAAATTCAAGTTTCTTCCAGGGGAATGTTGCCAGGAAGCGATCCCTGTTAAATCTACTTTGTACCTTTGATTCAAAATCAACATCATTGAACCAACTATACGTAGAACGAAATCAACACATGTTTGTACAATGTAAATATGATCATGTAAATCATGTGCACTAAGAAATATTATTAACGATGAAGTCACTCGCTAGACATAGGATCATCTTGCAGAGTACACCTCCGGATAATCAAATTTAACTACCTAACAGCTACCCAAAACAATATTTAACCACTTGATAACTTACCAACAAAAATAAAACATAAATAAAAGAAAATTGTACGGATCTTACTAGTATGCTACATCACATGTAAGTGCAATCAAACCTTGCTATAATATACACTTTTCGTCAGTGATGTGGACCCAAATATGGCAAGTAAAATAAATAAAGCTGCACATGTAAGTCAGTTGCTTGCCCATCATACTGCTACCTGCAATAAAATATAGCACTAGTAAGGCACAAGGACCGATTGGCATTCAGTTATTGACACAAACTAACGGAGAGCTCCTAACAGAACCAAAAATTTGGATAAACCATAGTAAACTAAAATCGTTCCCATGGCAGTTTGAATGAGAAGAAACATACTCTTCAAGTTCACTGTCAAAGCCAAACCATCATAAAAAACAATAATAGAATTGATGTGATACTTCAATAAATAAATAAAAACTGAATTGGACACTATACATGCAACAAAAAAATATTCTTACCAAATAACTGTCACTGTAAGACAATAAGCTCTTTTCAAATGCTAAGGAAAACCAAACAGACTTATCTTAATTACATGGATGGTCAAAACACCACTGAGTTTTGCAGAAGTCATGGGAGGAATTAGATTGGTTTTCTTTAGTATTTGAAAAAAAATTATCTATGTTCATATGTGTATATAAATACACACATATATTATAATGCTGAAAAGTTTCTTCTCAACAAAAGTGTCCAGATGCTTCCAAAATCAAGATTCCCCGTTATTTTCCTAGATTAGAGAGTGCAGTAATTTGACTCCTCTCCATTTAAAAGGGATTGCCATATCTGACAACTAAATCACTAGTCTCTGTAAGTCCAATTAAAGACTATACTGACAAAATATGTTTGTTGATTGACATTCGACAAGATAAGATAACCCATGCTTCTTGCACATTGCTACTGTATCTGGTATCATATTTATATACGTCATGTATTTTTTATGTACTATGCCCTTACCCTCATCAACATAGCATAAAACCATTCTGATATCATGTTACAGAAACATATTGACAATGTGTTAACACTAATCATGGGAGATCCTCAAGCATACACAGGACATGATATGCATACATGCCTGTGCATGCACAAATAAAATTCCGAACACAGTATTTGTTGCAAATCAAAGAAGGATATAGTGCATGTGTGTGTGTAGTTGACAAATATAGTTTAAACAGAGTATTACCTTTTCACAAGGTCTTGGAGGAGAAAAGTTGCAATATGTCCTCACTTAAACAACTAAGCAATCCTGAGCTTAAGTCATGTGTGTATTTCACGTCTCGAATAGGATGCTTCTGAGATTTGAGATGCTGAACATCCATAAACGATGGCAACTCTTGCAAAACTAATTCACATGCTACTTCACTGCCATAAGCAAATTGTGGGTTTTGATTCTGTCTGTCTACAATTGCAGATTTTGGCAGTCGTATATCATTTACAGTCATATATGTAGATCCTAACTTTTGAAAACGTCTGTTACCCAAACTCTTGAAGAGAATATTGGAGCCCTGTATTCCTTGCCCCATAAGAGAGGAGGCAGCAGTAAGTGAAGGTTGAGAAACAGCCATATCATTAGACATCTCAACTTTGGGACGGAAGGAAGCAACAATGTGATTATTGCTTGGACAATAAGCAAGACCTATACAAACTCCTTGATTCTCTGATTCAGGAACCAGAAATGGCCTAACACAAAAGACAATAAATAGTCAGAACAATTTTTTTATTTTTTATAGTCAAATAAATAGTCAGAACATACCCACATAAAACATAAAACAAAACATATGATAGATTTTTGACAGTATTGCCTTCCATAACATCTAGCTTTGAGGAATCAGCAATAAAAAAAGGGTATTTTCCAATGTATAGTCATATATAAAAACATAGCATATAACTGCTCTTGTATCAAAAAGTCACTAAATCTTAAATGGCTTCACAGAAATTATTGGCGATATTCAATACTTGGTTCTAACCATTTAATCAAAAGAAATGACGCCCTTCAGATCACCTCATATGGAGCATTTAAACCTCAACCATCCCATAAAAACTGATTCAATGTGTTGTGGCTAATTTTTGTTTGCAGGTATAGAAAATCAATCAAGTAGAGGAGATCCCCAAATGCAACAGAGCATTAAAAATAAATAAATGATGAACAGAAATGCTTGTACACACAGCCAGAAAGGACATAATGGAGGGTGCTCCGGAGAGAGATGACATCCATGGTCCCATGTTTCCAAAGTAACAAAAACAACAGCTACTTAACTGACTGTGAGGAAAACTTTACAATATATACAAGTACCCCTTAGCCATTTTTGTATTAGCAACAACATCCCAATACTGTGTTCATAGTTTTTTTTTTTTTACTTTAAGCTTAGTTGAGTCTTAAGTATGTTCTGTAGTAAAGCATCATCAGAGAATTGAATTCAAGCTTTTGTTCAGAGCTCAGACAGACAGACTACAGTAGAAAGGTATAACTCACGCATTTCCACTTGCATCAAGTTAAGTGTTTATCTTTGTCAGTGTGTTGAGAGTATAGTTCATTTGCGTACTTTACCGTATTGAATTTTAAAAGCCAACAATTTACCATAGAGTTCATTTGTATATGTTAATTTTTCTTGTATAGCTTGATATACGTTGTTAGGTTCATTTCCTAACACTCAGTGACTAAACAATTTCAAAATTTTCTATAATAAGTTGTAGACAAGTCATAGTACTGGTCAAATGATGTTACTAGGTCATTATATATGTTTTAGTTGGATTTAAAATGGTTTTAGGAGTCAAATCCCTATAGTTTAGGATTGTTTACAAGTCTATAAAAAGTTATGCTAGACTTGCAATTCACTAGAGTATTAATTTAAAGGAGTTTTCAGCAACATAAACCTTACTACACTAGCCTAGCCCATTCTACCGATCTATCATAGCACATAAAGACAACCCCAAATGGCCCCTATTACTCTTTGCAGCACACAGTAAAGCTCTAAATTCTGTCCTTTTTCCTGATTAAACTAAGCCCAAACCTGATTCCCTCAATACACCATTGTAAGCACTGAAACCCCAACCCTTACTAACCACAAAACGACAAAAAATAATTAGATCTTAAAGATCTAAAACACACTCCCTCCATCAGCTTGGAAACTAATGAGAATAATTTTTCTCTAAGTTGAGTAGCAGTTTACAGTCATTGGAGAAAAGGATGGATTTGGCTAGTGACGGCAAGCAAACCTATCATCACCTCATTCTCTATTTCCAAAAAAACAGTGGCGAACCGTTCATTCACTCTTCTCAAAGAAATGGTAAACGCATAAGACAAATGAAAAGTGAAAATATCCAGATCCATAGAGCTTTAAAGCTAAACAAGCAAGACAAGTACAAACATCAAGTCAATGTAGAAAACAGCGTGCGCAATACCCTTCTTCAATGCCACCAAAGTTCCACTGACATAGACCAATAGAAGAGGCGGTTAGGAGGCTTCTTGCACCAGAAGGAAGAGTTGAATCTGGTGAAAGAGAGTGCACAGTATGGATGGGGTTGCATGTCAACCCAGTCAAGGATTCCATGGGCTTCAAAGTTTGGCGCATATCAAACACCAGAAGCATGCCATTCTGCATGAATTTTACAAACACAAGTATAAATCAGAATTACGTAAACACCAGCTTGGTTGCCATCAGACAGCAATTGAGGGTAGGACCTGTAATCCAGAGTAGATATAATGTGAACTGTTAAGATCCCATGAACATGACCAAGCAGCAGCCTGGAAATACAACAATAATTAGGACATATCGAATTCAATGGGAGAAATGAGGGGGGGAAAAGCTATCAGAACAAGATTTCCTGCTGTCTTCATAGCAACTACGATAATTTACAAAAAATAATTAAAAATATATATATGAAAAGTGTAGGAGATTGTAACACTGTAACCAGCCATATATTTAATCAACAAGTAAATCAGAGCAAGTGGGTCAGTATCTCCAACTTGACATATCTTCAATTGTTGCACTGGGCTGGGCCAACACACTCACATGCACACAGAAAAAACAGTTTTCTAGCCTTAAAATGGTATGCATCTTTTTTTCCCTTTTTCTAGCCTAGAACCACAAGTCGATAAAGGTTTCCCAAATGCTAATAATATTTGTTTAGGAGCAATATTATTAGTACATCTTGGCCTCTCCAGGAGCAGGAAGCCTCATGCACTGGGTCATCCTTTTAATTACTTACCTCCATTCCTCATTCAAAGTAAACATCGAGTGCCTTTAATCTAAGCAATTAACCAGAAATATTTTCAATAAGATGCTAAAAAGAAAACTACGTGGCACAAGACAAGAAGCATGACCAACCTTAATCTAGAATCTTACCCTCTGATTAATAAGCAACAATATCACAAGTTATTGGCAATTTATCAAAAAAAAAATATCACAAGTTATTGGCAGAATGTTTACCGGTAAATCATAAGAAAGAACCACATTGTTGCTTTCCGTACTGAAAAAAATGGAACAACAAATTAAGATATTTTGATTGGAGAAATGTACAAAAAGAAACCGCTTCAAAAAGAATATCATGGACAGTGGCTCCACCTGATAACTGACAATTTCTTTCCCAAGGAAGCCAGGAGCGCAAGTCTGCCATGAGGGGCTACACGAAGGTCCCTAACAGCTTTTGTGCTGACAGGAAGATCAATGTTTTCCCTTTCATGTGGAGCTATCAAGCTCATCTGCAAAAACTAGTTTTTAAAAAACTTGAAGAGGGATTTGTGAAAATTAAAAATGCATACCATGCCAATAAAGCCGATTTGGATATCAAGGACAAAAAAAACTTTACTTTGGTAAGAACGTGCATTCCTCCCATTCCAGACAGCCTTCGAGCAATTATAAAAATCTGAGTGGAAGCATCCACATCAAAAAATTTAGCACCATCCACCTGCAACTCTTGCTACAACAATTACAATTGTTGGGTTAAAATTACAGAGGAAACTAAACAATATCTAGGGGAATAATAATGCAACTTAAAACCCAAATGTTAACAGTGGTTCATGATAATTAGTCAGGAGAAAAAAATAACACAGAAGTGAAACAAAAAGAAGTGCAACTCTAGATAACTATTTATCCACACAAAAAAAAAAAAATCGACTCTAGGTAATGTTAACACCAGATTTTATTCTTATTCCTAGTGTACAAATTCAAATTTTTACACTTCTCAATAGCTTTTAACGGAATTCACATTTTACATAACCTGTTGTTAGATTAAATGATGCCCATGCACTCAAATTTGTTAGTATATCATATACTGTAGTGTGGAGCCATGGATGTGGAATCTTTTAATTACTGACCATCTTAAAAATTGGAAAACATAAGGGGCATGGAACAAAAATCAATCCAATGGTTGGGTAGTGAAATGAGTTCTACAACAAACAAACAAAAAAAGTCACACCAGGTTTAATTTCATCCTGCCCCTACATTTTTTCCCTTTGGGGCGAGGGAGACTATACCAGAAGAGAGAAACAAAAAAAAAAATAGTCAAACCTGTAATACAAAGTTGCTTGAAGATCCTTGACCACCAAATCCGAAATCAAGGTCATGCCCTACAAGACAAGTAAATCAATTAAAATTTTATCACTAATGAGGAAATATGGTATCATAGTTTTAGTTTTGATCCTCGATGAGCAAATAAGGAATGTAAAAAATAATGAATAATGCAAGGTATAATCCGCCAAGCAAAGGTTTTTCATTAGAAAGAACAGTTACCAAGCATGGCTTGTTCTTGAGAACCCTGACTTCCACTGAACAATCCTGATGGCCTGTTTTGTGCATCTCCCAATAAACGCTCCAAATAACTTGTCCTCTGAAAAGTCATAAAGCTTAATATTAACCAATATGCTACAAAGTGAACAGAAATAACGTTTGGGGGAGGGGGGTAGGATTGCCTTCTGCTGAAAGAATCCATTGAATTCAAGTTGTCATGTATAATTATCTGTAATCACAGAAATATTAAAGAAAATTAAATATGGCTCATGCAAATTAGCTCCATCCTTCAAGCCCAGAAATTAGCTCTCAATATTGGATACATACAACCAAAAAGTTACAAAGGATAGTAGAGAAATGAGAAGCACTAAAATTCTTAATGAACAGAAAAAAGAAACTCAGAAGAACAATCTGGTCAATAACGTGTACAGGAAACTAAAGGCAAAACTGCTTCTTCCAAGGGAATAGAAACAAATAATTGCAGAGAGAGAGAGAGACGCATCACTAGGATCAATGCCAAAGAAGAAAGGATCAGCAACAGGCACAATAAGCATCACACAAGAGACATGGAATGGTACAACAAATGTCACGTTTCTTTCTACATAGGAAGTACTATTACACTGCTCATTACACAAAGATGTACAGGGAAAAAGATTCAACACATCCTAAAAGGAAAGCTATTAACAAAATTGGACATGCCTTTGTAAGTTGGTGCACTTGCAGATGCAAATCAACTTCTCTCCTCCGCCAGTTAACTTCTTTCTTGTGCCAGTCCTCATCCTGAACAAAAAGTGCAAAATTTATCAACAGCAGTGTAAAATATAACAAAAAGCCCTCCGATAGCACTATTTATTTAGAGAAACACTATCATCAATAAGCAGGAAATTTATACATATAGTACAACTAAGCAAGAAAACAAAATTGTTAGAATATATTTATATATTAAATATTTAATATACACACTCCCAACCTTAGAACTTCTATATGCCATCTCTCCCCCACCCCACTCCTGTCCCCTCCCCAGTATCGTACAACTAAGCATTAGAGTGATTATCCATGAAGCACAGATACTTCTAAAGGGGAGTCAAATCCATATCATACCCATATCGGAAACTGATACTGATACTCCTCGAATACTCATAAATATGTATTTGATACATATCTAATAGTTGATATTAATTTTGAAAAGTATTAGATACTTTTTGGACACCCTAAGTCGCATATCCAAACTATTATGAAATTGAAGTTGTAATAATTTTCAATAATCAATCAATAATACATCTATTTCTTACAATGGTCTATCATAATTTTTGCCTATCAAATTTTAGTTCCTATCCCCCTTGAGTTTGCGGGGGGCTGTTAAAATTCACCTACTACACACCTACCACTACCACCTACTACACACTCACCTACTTCACCTACTCCTCACCTACTCCTCACTCACCCTCTTCTATATATAGGAATCATGAATCATTGTAATATATATCAATAATCAATCAATAATACATCTATTTCTTACAATGGTCTATCATAATTTTTGCCTATCAAATTTTAGTTCCTATCCCCCTTGAGTTTGCGGGGGGCTGTTAAAATTCACCTACTACACACCTACCACTACCACCTACTACACACTCACCTACTTCACCTACTCCTCACCTACTCCTCACTCACCCTCTTCTATATATAGGAATCATGAATCATTGTAATATATATCAATAATCAATCAATAATACATCTATTTCTTACAATGGTCTATCATAATTTTTGCCTATCAAATTTTAGTTCCTATCCCCCTTGAGTTTGCGGGGGGCTGTTAAAATTCACCTACTACACACCTACTACACACTCACCTACTTCACCTACTCCTCACCTACTACACACTCACCCTCTTCTATATATAAGAATCATGAATCATTGTAATATATATCAATAATCAATCAATAATACATTTCAGAATATTGGTGGCAATGGCTGAGACCACCAACAAAACATAACTCTGAACCCAACAGAAATAGAGAATTAGGGTTGCACTGACATGCCAACTTGTTTAGCATATACATAGGCCTATAAATCAACATGGTCTATCATAATTTTTGCCTATCGAATTTTAGTAAAAATAATGAATAAACAAGTTGAATAGTTTTAAGCGGGTCATGTGTTACTGGGCTCAAGCGGCAATTGTATCAACCTTTACACAATCTGTTTATTGAAACGGTTGCACAAGTTTTATTAACTTATTGTGTTAGGGTTGGGAATCTTGGCATGATATCATCATGTAGTGCTCGGTTGATCCATTTAACCTAATAAATCAACACAACACAAACCTAACCAAAACTAAAACAATTGTTAACCCCCATGAGTGATTAGGCAGTCAAACTATGGTTGCATTTATCCAAGTGGTCAAACAGATGTGAAATTTTTCAACATCATTGCTATGATTTTGTACAAAGTGAGAAAAGTAAAAAAACTTTTATTCAATAAAAATGCATAAATACAAATAAAGTGAGTCTGAAGGATCATCTAGAGGGGAACTAAGAAAAATAGGCAACATGCACAATAAAAAAAAAGTGGATTAAAACTCAAGAATGATGTGCAACAAATGGCTAAAAGCCTTAAGATTCCCAAACCCAACAACTCCAACACATGAGAATTCAGGTAAGCTTCCTTAGCTCCTCTTGTATTTGACTCTCCTCTTCTTCGATTCTCCCTTTTTTTTCAATCAGTTTTTTTTACATTTATTTCCGGGGGATTTGCTGCACTACAGCCCTTATTCTTCTTTAGTCTTAGTCATCTTCAAAAAAATTTAGGTAATTCGTAACAAGCCACTCTATACTATTATCGAATGATTTTGTTTTGTAATTTCTCTTTCTAGTTATGGTCTTGAACTTTGATTTGTAAGTTAGATTTTAACTATAAATCATAAAAAAATATTATTATTATCAACGTACCCCAACTGTACTCATACCCAACTTTTTTTTATATTTTGCCGTATTGGCTTAACTGTAACGTACCTATACCTGCACCCGTGCTTCATAAGTTTGAACTTTGAAGCCATAATTTTCAATTTGCAATTTGATACACAATGAAGAATAGATTCGAGAACAGTGAGGTTGTGACGCATCACGTATGGAATCAAAATTTTAAAAATCAAATTCGAAACTGACCAGATCTGATTCAAGATGGAAATTGATCCACAGCAATCTCACAACTCTCTATCACCCGCTCACATGCATTATAGGAAGTGACACATCTTTAACACAATTCTTTAGTCAGACTTTAGCATCCTCAAACCATTCATCACTAATTTGAAGCTCAAGCACTAAATGAGATAGGCCATGATTCCCATTTGAATGCAAGATTGACTTGGTGAGATTTTGAAAAAAAATGACACCTAGCTCTATGTGTGCTTTATCTTCCAAAAAATGGACTAATCCTTATATATAGGGTTTTAAATGATATTTTTGCTTTTTCCGTCAACGGTGCTAATGGTGTACTTTAGTCCATAAACCACATAAGGGCTATGTGTTTATTTCTAAATGTGAAGGATGTGATCCACACATGGGCCAAACCACAATGAGGTAAAGTGAAATTTGCCAATTTTGTAATTTTCCAACCATTGGTATATTATGGGCCAAATGATATTTACTAAGTCTTGTGTGGAATCTTTATTAGGCCTAGAATATTTAGTTCATCAAAGTTCCATAGTTTCCTAGTTTTTTTTTTTTTTTTTTTTTTAAATAAATCAAAGTTTCATCTACCTGACAGCTTATAAAATACTTAAGTAATCTTGCTACTCATTAAAGTTGAGATTTTTAGAATGTGTAAGTTCATGATTTTATACTAATGGTTTACTGGACTAAAAACTTCCCATCTTGTGGTTCTCAATAAGCCAATTATTTTTGGTATATGGAAAATCTTGTTCAATTAGGCCAAGTCCCATCATGATTTGAAGACCCAATAACATGTCCAAAACCCAGATTTGTTCTAGGGTTACTAAACCCTTTTGACTCTGAAACATGAATATGAATTTAAACACGTTTCAAAACAAGAAGAAAAACAATGACATCAAACAGAAGAGTAAGAGTTTTCGCACCAGACTTGATGGTCACCGCCATTGCTCCAAGCTTCCATGCAAATTGGGCAAAACAAGCCATCAATTTCGCTCCTACTGCAATCTCCTCCACTGCTACTTGCTCCAATCCCATCACCCTGAGACGACGACGTTTGGGCCCCTTCTGTTGTCCTCTTACAATCTCCTATCTCTTCACCCACATTCTCCGAAGCCGGCAAAACCCTAGGCGGCGGCGGAGGAGGAGGAGGAGGAGGAGGAACGACAACCTCGTCTTCTTCGTCTTCGTTTGAATCGTCTTCGTCTTCATCTTCGTAGTCGGATTCAGGTTCAGATTCGTCTTCACCTGAGTGCTGGAGTTGGTCTTCTACAAAGAGGCCATTGGGGTCATCGACTTCTTGTTGGAATTGATCGTAAATGTCTTCTTCGATGTACATGTAGTATGGGAAACCACCCGCCATTGGAACGAAAAAAAGGTTTTATCTTGCTTCTCGGATGGATGAAAAATAGGGGAAAAGAAGATGATTCCTCCGCGTAGTTTCAAAAACATAGAGCAAAGCAAAGTTTAGTACCGCGCGCGGCAACTCTATTTTGGTTACTGCCATTTCTATAAAGAGATTGCTTTGCGTGATTATATATATATATATATATATATATAATTATATCATAAAAATAAGGGTAAATTACAAATACATTTTCTGAGATTTGATTAAAATACGAATCACCTCGTATGATTTTAAAAATTACATTTCACCTCTTGAGGTTTCAATTTCATAATGAATCGTCATTTTTATTAATAAATCATTAAGTTAATTAACAGTTTTTAATGATATTAAAAATATTTTTTAATTAATAATTTATGTAATTTTATTATTTTATAAAAGAGAAATTATAAATTTTATTTTTTTAGTTAATTCTATTAAATAACAAATTATAACAAGGGGGTATTCGTAATTTTTCAAATCACAGGAAGCAATCTATATTTTAAAAAAATCTCAGGGGGTGTATTTGTAATTTACCCTATAATTATATGTATTTTTTAAATTAATATGTGATAGGTATATAAAATATAGACATTTGTGACGACCCCATCATATATAATAACTACGGTATGCCCATGCCTGAAGGCACGGTAAAAATATTGTTAGAATGAAAATATAATTGAATATAAAATTATTAGGTTAAAGTGTAATTTATTTAATTTGTTGGGAAAAAAATTTAAGATGAAAATATTATTAGATGATCTGTATGGTTTTGGATTTTCAAATGAATTTTATAATTAGATTTTTAAAAAGAGTTTGTCAAACTCAAAATTTTGTTTGGTTGTAAATATTAAAAATTAAAAATAATTTTTACAAATTTAAAATTCAAAACTTACTTGGTTTTAGAGTTTCCAAAAATAGTTCTTAAAATTTTAATTTGTATTTTATTATTTGTAGTGAAATTTTTAATATTTTAATCAATATTTTTCACTTTTCAGATCCACTCAATTTAAACATTTTGCATTATAAAATTTAGAGAGATGGAGAAATTAAAAATAGTGATGACACAATTATTACCTTGGCCAACAAAACGTGAAAATAATGATGACACAAATGCAAACAAAAATCATATCATCAATATTTACTATTGTAGTATTTTTGTTAATGTAACTCAGTTGCAATTTGTAATAGAAAATAAGCATTTTATTATCCTGGCCAATAACAGTATCCAAATAAATTTCTATATTCACATTTTTTTAGATAGTGAGTTTTGGTTGAAGTAAAGAAGAGAGATCTCATAGCTATAATTTTGCATCAATTTTAATGTAATGGTTAAAATCGATCAATTTTATGATTTGGTGGTCAGTTTATTGTACAGAAAATTAAATAAATGAAAATTAAATAAATTGTATGCTACTTGGTGAATAAATCAATTTAAACATAAATTTTCAAAATTTATAAGTAAACGAAATAGTGAAAAATAAACACATAAATGCTACGTAAAATTCAAGCAAAACAAAAGTATAAGATTTTAAACAAACAACAAAATGTAAG